AAATACATGGAAAGTTATTTTGTGCTTATGGATTAGAAGAATTAATCTTTTTTAAATGTCCATACTACTTGAAGTGACCTACAGATTCAAGGCAATTTCTATCAAAATTCAAATGGCAATTTCCACAGAAATAGAAATAAACAATACTATAATTTTATAGAAACACAAAAGTTCCTGAATAGCCAAAGCAGTCTTAAAACAGAATAACAAAATTGAAGGCATCACATATCCTGATTTAAACTACATTATAAAGCCATACTAATCAAAACAGTATGGTATCAGCATAAAAACAGACATATTAATCAATGGAAGAATAAAAGACCCCAGAAATAAGTGGTCAATTAATTTGCAACAAATGAGTTAAGAATATACAATGGGAAAAGGTTAGTCTCTTTAATAAACGGTGCTGGGAAAACTGCATAGCCACATGCAAAAGAATGAAATTGAACTCCAATCTGACACCATACACAAAAATCAATTCCAAATAGATTAAGACTTGAACACATGACCTGAAACCATAAATTCCTAGAAGAAAACAAAAGGGGTGAGCTCCTTGACATTGGTTATGGCAAAGATTGTTTGGATTTGACACCAAAAGCAAGGAAACAAAAGCAAAAGTAAGTGGGATTACATTAAATTAAAAAGGTTTTGCACAGCAAAGGAAACTATTAACCAAGTGAAATGGAAATCTATAGAATGGGAGCAAGCCATATCTGATAAGGGGTTAATGTACAAAATATATAGGAAAATCATGTAACTCTGTAGCAACCCCAATCAATTCAATTTTTAAAAATGGGCAGAGGAACAGCATAGACATTTTTACTAAGAAGACATGTTAATGGACAACAAAAAAGGTGCCAAACATCACAAATTATGAGGGAAATGCAAATCAAAACCTTAATGAGATATCACCTCACACCTGTTAGAATGGCTATTATAAAAAAGACAAAATATAATAAATGTTGGTGAGGATTTGGAAAAAAGGGAAACCTTGTACACTATTGGTGGGAATGTAACTGGGTGCAATCACTATGAAAGACAGTATGGAGAGTTATCAAAAATATAAAAATAGCACTACCACATGATTCATATGGAAATCTATCCAAAGGCAATGAAAACAGGATCTCAAGGAGACATTTGTACTCCCATGTTAATTGCAGCATTATTCACAATAGCCATGATATGGAGACAACCTATGGATGCATAGATGAAGATTATGTGAGACATATATATCTACAGGGATGGGAAGAAGTAGGTTTATAGTTATGAGTATAGGAAATAAATAATACAATAAACAATAAATAATCATACAAGAATAAACTCTGTGATTTGAATACTCATAACTGTAAACCCACTTTTGCCCACCGTGTGTGTGTGTGTGTGTATGTGTGTGTGTGTGTGTGTGTGTGTGTTCTGCTATGAGGATTAAACAACATATTTCCATTTGCAAATGGACCTTGAGAGCATTTGTTAAATGAAACTAGTCAGACATAGGATAATAAATACTATGTGATATCACTTTTTAAAAATATATTTTTTGTTGATTTCAGAGAGGAAAGGAGATGGGGGAGAGAGAGAAAGGGAGAGATAGAGACAGAGAGAGAGAGAGAGACAGAGAGAGAGAGATGCTGAGAGAGAATCATCAATTGGCTGCCTCCTGCACGCTGCCTATTAGGGATCGAGTCCACCACCCAGGCATGTGCCCTGACTGGGAATCGAACCTTGATTACCAGGGATTAGTGAATGGGGGAAATGGGGAGATGTTAGTTAAACAGTACAAATTTCCAGTTAGAGATACATAAGTTCTGGAGATTGAATACACATCACAGTAATTTTAGTTAACTAGGGGCCCGGTGCACAAAATTCTTCCACTGGGGGGGTGGTCCCTCAGCCCATTCTGCCCCCTCTCACATACTGGGAGCCCTCAGGGGATGTCCTACTGATAGCTTAGGCCTGCTCCCTGCTCCCCTTGGGGAGCGGGCCTAAGCCGAAGTCTGGCCTCCCTTTGTGGGAGACGACCGGGCTGATCAAGGGAAGGCATCAGCCCCATCTCCCAGCTGCTGCAGCCACTGCCAGTCACCGCAGCCACCAAGGTGTTTTCATCAACAGAGACTCCAGTCCCTTCACCATGAAACAACTTTCTTTAGGCATTTTCAAGATGTGTCTTTCATAGGATATGACATTTTTTATTATTTTTTTTTATCCTCACCTGAGGATATGTTTCCATTGATTTTTAGAGAATGTGGAAGAGAAAGGGAAAGACAGAGAGAAACATCAAAGTGAGAGGAACACTTTGATTGGTTGCCTCCTGCATGAGCTCTGACCTGGGCCCCAGCCAGGGAAGAGCCTGCAACCTAGGTACACGCTCTTGGTCAGAATTGAACCCAGACCCTGTGGTAGGCAGGCCGAGGCATTATCTACTGAGCCAAACCGGCTAGGGCAGGATATGATATTTCTTAGCCCCTCTAGCAGCAGACTTTCGTTTTTTTCTCTAGGAGTGAGGTGAAAAAACCCTACATTACCTTCTTGGATTCTTATTACCCAAGTTACTAAGAATATTACCAGTGGCTTACAGGGAGCTTTGCCAATGAGCAGTCAGAAAAGTTGTTTCCTCTGTAGTTCACACTGATCCCTGGCTCTGCCCCTGCCCAGGCCAGAGTGGTGTTAGGCCTGGGCAGGGGACCCCCAGTCCACTCCGATCACCTGCCCAGGCCTAAGACCTCTGGCCAGAGCCTGAGGCCTGGGAAGGGGACCTGCAGCCCACTCTGAGTTCAGGCTCTGCCCCTGCTCAGGCCTCAGGCTTCTGGCTGGGGCATTAGACCTGGGCAGGGGACCCCAAGCTGGCTCCGATCGCAGGCTCCTCCCCTGTCAAAGCCAGAAGGGTGTTAGGCCTGGGCAGGGACCCCCAGTCTGCTCTGATCACAGGCTCTGCCCCTTCCCAGGCCTCAAGCCTCTGGCTGGGGCATTAGGCCTGGACAGGGGACCCCCAGCCCTGTGCGATCGCCAGCTCCTCCCCTGCCCAGGCCTCAGGCTTCTGGCCTGGGCGATCGCCGGCTCCGCTTCCCCGGGTGGCATCTGGCCCTGCCCACCCCGCCTCCCCGGTCCCCGATTTGCAGCCCAGATCCCATGGGTGGCTTCTGTTGCTGCCTGCCCCACCTGCAGTATGCAAATTTAACACATCTTTGTTGGGTTAATTTGTATAATCTTCTGATTGGCTGGTGGGTGTAGCAAAGGTACAGTCAATTAGCATCTTTGTCTTTTATTAGTGTAGATAATCCTGTATTATGTACTTGAATGTTGCTAAGAGAATCTATCTTAAATGTTCTTACCACAAAAAAGACATTAGTATAGTAAATATGGAACATGAAGCAGATGTTAGCAAATGCTAAGCTGGTGATCATTTTTTCCAATATATAAATGTGTCAAATCAACACATCATATACTTTAAATTTACACAAAGTTAAATGTCAATTACATCTCAATAAAGCTGGGGGAAAACTAGGTGAAGTTGGTGGAAGTTGGATTCTTCACTAGAGATAAGGAGCTGGCATGAATGGGTGAAAATCAGACCCCAGCCCATTAGTGTCACATTAAGTGAAACCCCTCACGATATATGGGCAAAGTCAACTCAGAGAGTGTGAGTGAGTTAGGCATGGCCACATCCTTGTTCATGACCTAACCAGGTCAGGCCCCCTATCAGCATAATCCTGTTGTAGCCCACTTCCTCCCTCCAAGCAGTGACTGGCTATTTTCCTCACCTTTCTCATGACCCTCTGGTGGGAGAGACCTATGGTATGCCTAGAACAGTGGTCAGGAAATTCATTAGTTAACAGAGCCAAATATCAACAATACAATGACTGAAATTTATTTTGAGAGCCAAATTTTTTAAACTTAAACTATATAGGTAGGTAAATTGCTATTAACTTAATTAGGGTACTCCTAAGCTGGCCTTTGCTAAAAACGTCCTCAATCTGATTGAAGTACATTCGCTGAGGTCGACCCCTTCCAGCTCTTCCATCCACACTCATCTTTTTTTTTTTTTTTAAATATATTTTATTGATTTTTTACAGAGA